TCTAAGGCGTGCGAGACTGTTGCTCCCTCCCTAACCTCTCCACGGGGGGGCCCGTCTGGCGGTATTGGAGGTGGGGAAGTGTATGCGAAATGTGCCGGCGGCCCAGGACGCCTCAGAGATGGTCCTGGACGGCCTGCATGGCTTCGGCATGCCTCTCAGTGGCTCCTCGACGATCCCCGATGGTACGGAAAGTCGTCCAGGCATTGCTTCAAGGCAGCCCTCGGAGCCTCCAAGACGACGCCACCCGAGGGCTCCCAGAGAACGCTCCCAGAGAACCCACCGCGAGGGCCCCAACAAGCTCAGATTGGCCCACACCCTCAGGAGAACATGTTTTGATCCGCGGGTCGAGAGCGCACCTCGTCCGGTCGAAGCCAAGCGGGCCGCGCGAAGCTTGAATTCACCAGAGATGGGGGGGGAAAACCCTCAGAAAAACGTGCATACACGTTTGGCAGACGCGTTCGGACGCCCTGCCCAGCGGCCCGCCAGAGGCCACGAGGCCCACACGCGGTCCACACGGCGAAGCTCCAAGAAGGAACCCTGGGCGGCTCAGGAGACGCCAAAGGCAGCCCAAAATGTATGATGCTCCTGCCTAATGCGGGATGACGATTTATTAAAAACATGGGGAGAACGATAAAAAACACAGATATCTGCCATTTCTGCGGTATTCACAGCTGCACATGGTTGGGTCTTGCGCATTATTATATTCCACTTGCTATTACAGCTCATGGCAACTACAGATCATCTCCGTCCGTCATTGAAACTGCATCCCGCTGCTGTTGACCGCGCTCCTTTCTCCTTGACCCCCTCCCTCCTAACCCTCCGCTTCGGCTCCGTCTGGCCCGTCGGCCGCCCTGGCGCGCGCCCGAGGACGGCGGGGGGGGAACGATTAAAAAAATAGTTTTCCAGCCCGCGGCCGGATTTTGTCTAATCATCATCCGGGGCGCCGACGCGTGAACACGACCCCCGTCATCCTCCATTACTTTAGCCTGGACCACCAGGAAGAATTTCGAGCACCAGGAAAGAACCGACACTCGAGGGTTTTCACGTGTCGGGCCCTGAAAGATACTCGTTCGACACTGTTTCGACACTGCCTCGACACGTTTTCGACACTTTTCCGGCTGCTCGAGACTATTTCTGGGATGTGGTCCTTAAGTACGATGGGGGCAACATAACCAGCGATGGAGCAAATGTTCGAATAACAAACCAATGTTTTTAGAACATGAACCGGATGTGTTAAAACAAGACAAACTCAGCCAGAAATGTTCGAAGAACACGTCGTGCAAACCGCAGAGTGTTCTTAAAACAATCTTTGGTGAGCCTATAAGCCGAGCCAAGACGCTTCGCCACTGCTTGAAAGATGACCCCGACACGGGCTCGAGACCGCCCAGGATGACCCCATGACGGCCCAACACGGGCCCCGCCCAGCCCAAGTTGGCCCCATCACGGCCCGCAAAAGGTGCCGCGGGCGGCCCTCGGGAGGGCCCCAACGGAGTCCTGCAGGGGCTCCAACATGGCTCCCTGAGGAGGAGGAGGACGAGGAGGAGGAGGAGGAGGAGGACGACGAGGAGGAAGAAGAGGAGGACGACGACGTCCCTCCGCGAGGACGCCAAGAAACCGAAATTGGCTCATCTCCTCCAGATAACTGCCACCTTTGGCAAACTCATGCAGGTCCCTGCCCAGCGACCCGAGACGGGCCAAGAAGCTTCTAGGAGGGCCCCACGACTGTTCCAGCCGGCGGGGCGGCCCAAGACACGCCCAAGACAACCGGAGAGGACCCCTAAACGTAACTCGAGATCTTCCAAGATGACTCCGTGACGGGCCAACACGGGCCCACCCAGCCCAAGATGGCCCAAGTACGGCCCACAAGGCGCCGCGGATGGCCCGGGAGGGCCCCCAGAGGCCACGCAGGCACTCCAAACCGGCTCCGAAACAAAAAGCCCTCGAGAGCCCCCTCTCCCGGTTACGCTTCTTTGGCAACGCTGCCCCCTGCGAGCAGCGCTCGGGCGCCCAGGACGCGGTGCTCCGAGACATCACATGGTCGGCGGATGTGGCGCAAGCGGAGCGGAGGTGACGTGCTGAACGGCAGCGTTTTCTGGGGAACGCCTTCGTGCAACGTGTCAAATGTATCCAAAGATTGCATGCTTGCAACATGTTGTATTGTGTTACATTCTTATGTCTCCCCCCCTAACCCCCCCCGGGGCTACGCCACATCCGTCGACCCAAAGTGGCCACCCCCATTTGGGGCTCAAAAACGTAGCAGAACCTGCGTAAAACCAATGATTCGGGACTTTGGGCCCTGTGGGAGGCCCAATAGGGCCCCAAAACGGCTCCATGTGGCTTCAAGACGGGCCAAGACGGCTCCAAGACGGTCCATGATGGCCCCAAAAAGGCCCAAGAAACTTCTAAGACGTCCCAAGAGGGCCCCAAGGCGACCCCCAAGAGTGCCTCCAGAGGCCAAAATCATTAATTGCCCTATAGTTTTTTGGGGTGATTTTAGCGT